TGGTGGCAGTCACCTGTAGGCCCAGCTACTTGGGAGGCTGAGGCAGGATTGCTTGAGCCTGGGAGTTTGAGGTTACAGTGAACTATGACACCATTGCACTCTAGCCTGGGCAACAGACGGAGACCCTGTCTCAATCAATCAATGAAACCTTGGGGACAAAGAGATCATTTGATAATTGCCTTAATAAAAGCATCATAAATTATCCCCCCACATCTCTAATTCCATCTCATCAAGAGTTACATTTATTCAAATTTCTAATACACTTATTATTTTGATGAACTGTGTACTATTGATAATTACAGAAATAACTTACTCCAGAATAATTCTTAAACACTTAGAACATTAGGGTTGCAGAACATTTTAAAAGATCAATTTCAATTTATGTACACATATTTGTTGCAAAGTGGTAGAATTATCAACAAAAGATTAGAAAATAGCACTCTCTGAACTTCACCCATTAGGATAAAATTTTGTTAGAGGAGGGGAATGTAAATATGATTGGAAGGAGAAAAAAAAGAAAAATTTTTTGTTCATTAGAAAATGATTGTATCAAATCATTATGCTATTTATATTCCATTGGGTACATTTGGATACATTTTTTAAAGTAATGCAAAAAAAAGTAATGAATGCAGCAGTCTTGCTTTGAAATGTTAATATTTATAATATGTCAAAAATTACATCCTTTATTAACAAGATGAAACATTTTCAATATTTAATGATGTTAAAGATATTTTTTTTTCAAAACTCTCTTATGTGCTATGCAAGCAAAGAAAGGTGAATATCCCTTTCCTAGGGAAACACTTACACACACACCAGGCTATCCTGTACAAGAATATTCACATTCACAGCAAATGTCCACCAATACAAAAACACATAATTTACACCTACCGTGGATTGCTATGGATGACTATATAACAATGGATTAGTGCATAACAATGAAAATTAACAAATTACACCTTCACACAAAAACATAAATAAGTCTCTTAAATCTAATCTGAGCCAAAGCAGCAAGACAAAAAATTCCTATGGTAAGATTCCACTCTCGTTCATAATCCAGCAAAACTAAACTATATTGCTTAGGAATGTGTGATAAATCATCACACTTCTCCTTCCCCATAAGAGGATTCCCCAGTGCCACATGACTTGTACTACTCCCTTGTGGAATCTATATCCCCAATTCTTCTACTTTTGGCATTGCCATGTGACATGCTTGAGCCAATTAAGTGAGTATACGTGATGCTTTGCCCGTTCAGAGGATTGGTCCAAGAGTTTCCATCCGTTCTCCGCTCTTTGATGTGCCAAAAGGAACTGTCCTCTCACCCTGGATTCTGGAATGAAGAGACATGTGGAGTATATCCTAAGCCAGCCATAAACTCTCACTGATGCAAGAAATACAAGTTTGTTTTTGTAAGCCACTGAGATGTCCCTACTGTTCCTAATGGCAGCAAAGCTGACATAGGTGGTAAACCTTCAAGAAAAGCAAGAAAATAACTACCACGAAAGTGAAGACAGTGGAGAGGGATGAGGTTGTGACTTAGAAGAGGAACAGAGGGTGGAAGGGGGATGGTATCGTTCTGTTGATTTGAGTAGTAGTTGCAAAGGTGCATGCTTTATAATTATTCATTAAACTATATATAAACATCCCATGTACTTTTCTGTATTTCCTTTTTCCCATTAAAAACATAAAACAGGCAAAAGATCAAAATTCACAAGAACTTGATTGTCTTGCTAATGCATTTCAAATATAAATTACTCCATATACTTCTCCTTCTGTTATTTAACATTAAGCATTCATCACTGAGATACTATGAGCTCACTTTTACAGTCAAAAACTCAGTTCACTTATCCTTGGAAAATTTGTCATGGAATGTTCTGAAATGCCTTACATAAGACAAAACACCTGTGTAAACCAATGTAACTGAAATTTACTAATCACACTCTCATTTTTTTATTAATTCAAATCACTCAGCAAATATATATCAAGTATCCTGTCATAAAACAGCAAACGGCCCTCCATCATAAAACTGACAGTCAACATGTATGTGTATACATACATATATCAGGTGGCAAAAAGAGCTATAGATTATGATGCAAAGTAAGAAAATAATATTGCAGGAAGAGGAAATAAAAAGTGCAAAGATACCGTAGCAGGAATCTGCTTGGCAAGTTTGAGGGTAAGCAAGGAAGTCAACGGTGACTAAAGGGTGTGCGTGTGTGTTATATGGTGGTGTGCTTCCAGTGAAACAAACTCTACACTCCTTATATCAAAGCTATGGGGATCCTGGCAATTTTGATGGGACCTCAAATGTTTAAAATTACCTGCACACAACAAAGTCTTACTCCCAAGTATCTCTGTCAAGTCCAAATATTATGAACAACTTTGGATGAAAGTTGGGCAAATGCTTTGAGCAGCATTCACCAAGAGAAATGTTTTGCATATCTAAATTGCATTAAGTGATATAAATAACAACAGGGGATGGAGGGGAACAAGATATAAACTGGGTGTTCCATTATGTAACCTAAAATAAATTAATAAATAAATTCTGGATGGAGTACTAGGCTAGAAAGTTCAGATCAAGTTAACTCTCCTGACAGGTGCTTTAAAACCTAACCTGTAAAATCTAATATGCTCACCTTCAGAAAAATCCTTAATGTATGCACTACAGAGAAGATATAGAAAAAAATATATAAGATGTTAACACTACTCTGCTAGTATTCCCTGCTGGGATATAGGAGGGGGCTGGCCATTTTAAGCTGGTAAGCATAAGCAGTAATTGACAAGTGACTAGCTATGCAAGAAAGATTCTTGCTTGCCACACATCACATAGTTGTTTCTGAGAAGTGATAGCTCAACTAAAGATGGTATTTCCCAGATGCCTTTTGCATCTATGCAGGGATGTGCAATTTGCTGTCACCCCTGGAATATAAGTTGGTGGTATAATACTCTGGGCCAAGCTAATTGAGCAGGTGAGCCCTCTCTCCAACCCCACTTAGCCAGCTTGAAATTGAGGGTTGTCAACCCTGAGGCAGTAGTCACAAGACAGAAGGCACCTGTCTTCGGTCACATGAGGAAAGCTGCCTGATGACCCACACTGGTTTCTTGTATAAGCAAGAAATACACTTTTGTTTTCTGAAGCTACTGAAATTTTGATGTTACCTATTATAGCACTTAGCATTATTTTAACTAATACAGAATACTTAGTTGGGCTCTCAAATGCTGAGCTGAGAGCAAGTCAGGTAGCAATCAGCCTCTCATAAGATAGTATTCACAAACTTTGTATTCAAAGTATGATTCCCAATTAGATTATCAACATATTGACTACCATACTAGAAATTTTTTTTCCCTCGGGGCCATGGTGTTTTATTATGAAAATAAAAACTTTACCAAAATAAAAAAAAAAAAAAGAAAACCCTATTATTTATACATAAAAAAAAAAATAAAAATAAAAACTTTGAAAACAAAATGATCCTAATTAAGAACAAAATTGACTTCTATTTAATCCACGTTGTTATAATTAATTTGTCAATATTAATTGTAATAATAAGATCAACAAGTAAGGTCTTCACGAACTGCAGGGTTTTGCCCAGGTTTTGCTTCAAGGCCAAGGACTCGAAACTACCATGAGTGTAGCTCACATGGCAGTTAACGTGTTAATAGTCCTTGGTTGTCTCTGCATATGCAGAGTATTAATAGGACTTAGGGGTTCTTACAGCGGAAGCAGAGACTGCAGCAGTGGGGCAAGACCCAGACTTCCCAAATAAACCTGGAAGATACCCACACAACTTTGAGAAGACTTCTAACAAAATCCCATTCCCTCTAGTTTATGATGACTTCGTTTCAGATCCCTCAGTGTATCTCAGAACCTTCCTCTTCCCTTCACGTCCATTAGAACCTTCCCATCCCTTGTACTCACTCATTTACAAGGGAGGTTGCAGCCATTCCAAGCCCCTAACAAGCATAATAGGTGTACCTTACTATTTCCAAATAAACTTCAAGCTCGAAGGAGCTTTGAAGCATTTGCTTTTATGTCTGTAATTTATACACATTCCACTTGTGTATCTGTTGAGTGAGGTTGGAAATAGGCACCTGGAAGTTGAGAAGTAAAAGAGCTGTAGTATCATATATTTGAGACAAAAGAGCCTCTGTTCCTTTCTTCTAAAGGCACTTCTGCTTGTTAGGGGTACACCTATTGAAGCAATAAGTTTTCTTTCTGCTGCGACACTAATAGGGCAAGTCACTCGGAGAGAGGGAAAATGACAAAGGGGTGTGAGGGAAAAGGTGCAAGGATTAAAGAAAGTTCTGCCACAGGATTTCCCAAGTTGAGAGAAAACAAAAACAAAATCTAGCTTACATCTTACATCATCCTTTGTAGAATAAACTTAGGTTAAAGAAACTTACCCTCTAAACCCAATGATTTTCTATTGTTTTGAGGGAGTATCTGTTTTCATTGTCTGAGTTCACTGCTAAGTAAATGTTCTTTTTGAGAAACTTCTATCTCTTCTGAAAGAGGAAGAGAATTTCCACAACTCAGTAAGTTCAGAGCAGCCCTACAAGCCAGATGTGCAGCAGCAGTGAGCCAAACCCGCGATGTGCCCAGGGAGCTGCTCGAGGCTCAGCAAACACACTGGGCTTTCAAAGGGAGATCAGCTGTATATTTTAGCCCATTTCTTATAACATGCATCTGAGATTTTTTTTTTTTTAATCAGGCCTATGTGAAGGTTTTCCAGTGTTATTTTAAAGTAAAGCAATTAATATTTTATCACCAGCTACTACCGTTTGGCTCTCTTATCCAAAGTTTGGAACAACACAGGTCACAGACACTGGGGCAAGAACAGCATTTACCTTTACTGGACTGCCTGATTGAGCTTGAAAGGAAAGAGTTAGGACAGTCAGATCCAATGTCATCAAGAGTTCAAGAATGAAAAAAAAGCAGCACTTACAAAAAAGGAGAGTGTTAATTATAGTCCCCAAGGTTTGGTTACATTAGAAACACAATGACTTCATTCATCAATATTTATTGGGCGCCTATTATGTGCAAGTCACTACGCTAGGCACTGGGGAAGATACAAAGATAAATCTAACAAGACTGCCCTCAAAGAGCTTACAGTCTAGTAGTACAGGAGCATATAGTCTCTGAAGAAGACATTTTAGGTGTAATTAACCTCCCCCCTAGCAAAAAAAAAAACAAACCCTCAAGTTTACTAGACTGTTTCTTCCACTTACTTTAAGTTCAGCAGCTTCACATAAAAAGCATAAATCTGAAAGTCTTTTAAAACGCATACTTTCACTCGTAAACAAAATTCATTTTCATTAGAAAAAATGCTGAATATTTATTGCAATTAAGAAAATCCTCCAACATATATTCAGTATTTTCATGAATTTTTCTTATGAATGTGTATTTGTGAAGTAAACGATTTCCCAAGTTGCATCAAAAATATGCAACAAATTTTTGAAACAGATCTTTTTCAACTACTGGTAGTCACATATGATGTACACAGGCTCTCTGCTGAAAGCAAGGAAAGCTTTTGAAATGGATATGTATTTGTTTACTACCAAAGTTCACAGTTTATGAGTTTTTTCCCCCATAAACCCACTGCATGTCAATACAAAGTATTATAAAGTAACACCTCCATTGACGTATACCCCAAAAACCTAAAGCTTCATTATCTCTAAGCTTTAGATAGAAAACAATAATGAAAAATGTTCATTGTCACCTTAAAACCCAGCTATTAATTGGCTGACCAGACCCACCAAAGAACTACACAATAATTTCAGGAAAAGACATTCAAAATAGCCACTTTCCTATTACATTCTTAGGAATTTCTGAAGTTTTTTGTGATTTTCCTTTCAGCAAAAACAAATCAAATGTAATCGTTAGGGAAATAAAAAACACTGATATACATGTTTGTCTAAGTTAAACTATCAGAGAAAAGTACATGTGAGCACTACCTTTCAAAATTCATTTCTAACCATAATTGTCTTGTGATTATTCTCTTTTCTCAGAATCATTTCTAGCACAGACTTTTCTAATCATACTTAGTTTTTTATAAGTCTGAAGCCTTTTATCTTTGTAGAGACTTCAGAAGACTTCTTCAAACCATTGAGAATAAAGTAGATGATATGGTTATAAAATTAAACATGAGTCAATTTTTTATAATGTAGAATTATGGTAAACTAATACTACTGTGCACACTCAAAAATGAGTTCACGAGACAGAGGTTCCTTATTCTCATGTTGGAGCATTTTTCTCCTGAGCAGTTTCCCTTAGTTGAGTAAAAACAAAAAACTTTATGCACATTGTGCTAATTGGGCCTTTCTACTTCTCTTCCTCCTCAAACAAAAAAGTGGGCTTTTCAAACATACTGTAACTCAAGTAAATTTCAACATTAATCTCTACCAGACTAACAGATCCATTAGTCACAGAAGTATAGTGAACTTAAACTGGTAATTGGGTCTGGTTAACACAGCAGGCTTACTGTACATGCCTTCCTTAATGAGAACATACCTAATTTTTAAGCTTTCACACCTGGAGATTTTAAGCTTTCATGTCTAGTATTTGTACAAAGTAAATAAAATTAAATTTTCTGGGTATAAAATCTAACAAAATAAAATCAGATCAGTATGTGCTAGTCTTTGAATCATATTCCTGTCTTCACATTACTAAGGTGCTTTTCTGTTCAATCTCATTGCTGAACAGATAAACTTTATAGATGTGTGGTGTAAAACAACCACTATTTAAGTGAACCCTGTCATTTTACAGATAAAGAAACCAAGAACCTTAAAAGTTTAATGAAAAAGCTGGGACCCAAACCCAGTCTAGTATTCATAATACTATACCTCTGACCTTTCTGCTGGTTCGAAAAACTCATACTCACATGCTGTGACATGTACCGCACAACTACATACAGGAGCTGTTAAAACGAATGTAATTAAATAGTGACATATTTCATATAAGTTAAATATAAGAAATGTTAGTTATTAACTTAAACTATTCTTAGAAAATATTAGCCCTTTTTGGTTACTGTTGATTGTGTAACTACAGTGTTTGGTCTTGCTTCAAAGGGTAATTGACTTGCAGTTGCTACTTTTAAGGATGTTTATTTGTTCACTGCAGAAAAAAAAATGTTAAATATGATCATATATTCAATCACATATTGTGTATTGAATCTCTAAATTATTTTTACATACATTTAGATTTTCTCATACTTTTAACATAAGCTAAATTAACTTATGCAGAGAATGAAATATTACCTCTACATAAGTTGTTGGCAGCTTGAAAATTAGTCACTTCCATACACAATGGGAAACCTCTTATAGGAATGAAAGAAAGGGTGTCCAGGATAATAAAAAATATGAAAATTATAAGAGAAATTTGATTAGTCTATAATCTGAGGTATAAGAAAAAGGATAAGCTTAGAGAATCAGAAGATCTGAGTTCAAGTTTTAACTCCATTCCTTACTAGCTTGTAACCTTGGAGCAATTCAAGAAATTTCTGGGTTTCAGTTTCTTCATCTGCAAAGAGCTAACACTTATTATGCTTACCTCATTAGATTACTGAGGACAGCATACAATAAAATATAAGAGTGCTTTGTAAATGGAAAAGCACACCACAAATATTACTACCTCAGTAATTATTAAAATGTGGATCTATAAAAAATTGTAAATAATCACCACTTAGTGGCACTAGGCATGCTCACTAGAACTTAGAGGGTAAACCATGCAAACATTTCCAACTTTCAATGGCAATGCTACAAAATCATACAAAGATATAATATAAAGGAATGTTTTTAGAGAGAAAGCACTGAAAGACACACACATTTGGTTGACTTAAGAGACTTTAAAATGAGTTAGTATGATTTACAGCATATAAAGAGGTATTTAGTCTTTAAGTGGAGGAAGTTACTAGTCACCTGTAAGAAAAACAAGCGTTATGGGCATTCCTAAGATAAATGGAATAAAATTCCATCACTTTTGGTTTTTTTGGTAAACCAAGCTTCTAACAAATAGCCATATTAATTTTTCTAGTAATCAAACATACCCGAAAAAAAGAGTTAAAAGAGAATGTCTACCTCTAAATCACATCCAATGGGAACTTGCATGAATGCAAGGCATAAAATACAGAGTTCTTATGACTCTACAGGCACCTTAAAGTTTTAACTACCCTTCATGCTTACATTATATCCCATAGAGAATAGTGGAAATAATACAGGGAATACTTCAAATATATATTTTTTACAAATCCTTTTTATGTAGTTCTTATTCTCATAATACTCCATTCTGGTGGCCTTGTTTTTTCGTTTTATTTGTAAAAGTAAGTTTAAGTAGCCTAACTTTTCCCTTCAAATATGTGTTTTTACGTTAGTTCTCATACCAAAAACAAAAAACAAAAGAAAATATAAAGGAAGAAATAAATGAGATACAATTCATTAAGTATAAAAATATGTTGTTTCAAATTCAGAATAATTTAATAACTCTTCGTTATTTCATATGTATCTGGAAATGGGACAGATACATGTCCTGATCCTGTCACAAGAGGTAGAATTCCAGCATTTGGTACAACGTTCCAAGACAGGGTCAAAGTGACATTCCTGTTTCCCCTATAAAAAAATAAAATAATAGTCAGCAGAAATACTTTTAATTAAAAAGAAAAAAATTTAAATTAAGCACTGAGGTGTCAAACACTTTATTTATAATCAGCCATTCCTAATAGGAATCCTAATCTGCAAAAAGAACTATTTTCTCATGTCATCTGAAATCCAAGGATAATGCTGAAGACACAATCATTACATATACAGGTATCCCAAAATGACCAACGTAAACTCACAGCTGCAGTTAAGAGAACTATCAACTAAAAAGCTTAAATGAATAAAATGCAGTAAATGTGAAAAGAGACTTGAGCTCAGAATAAGAAAACAATGATCTGAAACCTAATTCTGTCATTATCTAGACGTGCAAACCCTGACCAACCCAAATCTCTCAGAGTATGAAATTTTCATCTACAAACAGAGAAATTTGGTTTGTCAAAATAACTCTCTTCTACTAATGTTTACCCACAGATTGTTTGAGGTCAAAATGACCTGAACGATCACTCATTCTGATTCCTTCATTTTGTATACGAATAAACTAAGGTTTAGAAAAGCTAAGTCATGAGAACCCATACTAGTTTTCTTAAGCAGTATCAACTCCTAGACCCAATGTGCTGCTTCCTCATTAAGGTTTCCCTGACTCATATCCAGAAAGGAGCTCTTTAATTTGACAATCACAGCCCTACTACATATGGGCAAGCCCAAGCTCCTTGTACACTTAAGAGGATGCTGTAGGCATTGACTGTTGCATTTCTACATTTCACATACTGCAAGAGAACTAATTGTCTTAGATCCCAATTTGTATTTTGACCCAATCTTCCAGTTCAAAGTTGCATAAATACTTCCCTCCCAATTGTCCTTTTACCCTCTAATATTTTTCTTTAAAATAAAAATACATTATATTTTTCTCTCCCTTTGACATCTTATTAAATGTAAAACATGACAAAGAATTGCTCACTTGAGACCATTTCCATCATCAAAGAAAAAATATTTTGTTTTCATATCTTTCAGCAGCAGCTTCGGATTATCACCTCTCAGAACAATCTTGTCCCACAGGACAACTTGGTTCAGAGCCTGTATTAAAATGAAAATTCATTAGATAACTCATCAGAAATAGCATCTTATCACTTCAACTTAAAATTATTAGTAAGCAAATAGTTTGACATGTTAATGAATCCAACTCTGAGAGACTTGCTAAAATCTTAAAGCATACAAAATGATACCAAGTAGATAGATATAAGAAAGGGGCAAACATTGCTTGAAGAGAATAATTCCCTAAAGGAATTCATTCATTTGCTATTTCAATTGTATTACTTAGGGCCCTCACAGCTTAATGTAAGGTTTTAAATTGAGAAATATATTAATAGAAACTCTTAACTGTTTTCCTTATATACCTCTGGATTACTTTGCATGCAACCCATTCTGGAGACCCCAATGCTAGAGAACTATAGAACAGAAAGAAAAAAAAAAAAAAGAGAAGCTATTAAAGGAGATAAAGTTTTCACAAAAGAGTCACCTCTCCATAGGCTTGTAGATTTTTACTAGTCAACTCAGGTCAAGTATTTTAAATATATAAGATTTATATTCTTTCATAAAGAATACAGTTTTAGATAACTATTAAAATGCTTCTAAATATATATACTTACATTATTTTTTGTTGAATATTCTGCTGATAAATAAAGAAACAACTGCTTAACATTCCAATCAAATATATTCTCCAGATGTAAATAAATTAAGGAACATATAAATCATAAAGCAGCATACAACTTTTAAATAGATCTCAATTTATTTAGATTAATTATCCATTAAGTACTAATACTAAAATAGAAAAAAAGGGACCCAAAAACATACTGAGCAACTAATTTAATAAAATATATACAAGATAAATATACTGTAAAATCTACCCATTCCAAAACCAAAAAAAAAATCAGTTTGAAATTATCAGGATACTCCCCTGCTCATGCAAGCATTATTAGCTGAGATACTTTAATTAATAAGAAAGTAACAAAGAAATCCAAAATTCAGTTTTCTGTAATATCTACTACGCCCAAAAGGACATAATATTTCAAACACATACTAAAATATGGAGCTCTAAAGTATAACCAATCACAACTATTTCAATTTAATAATCTATAAACATGTACTATGCTCAAATAAGGAATCAAGTATAAATAAATTGTACATGTAGCTTTTGGTCACAAACAAAGAGAGATCAAGATGTCTCACTACTTGAGTTACTTTGGTAAGATGGAAATGGGACACATTTGGCTTCCCTCAGCTTCCCTTGGTGGGTCTGAGACTTTACCAGAATTAACTGTAAGATTGGTGCTATTACTGAGAAATGAGCTAATACTTGAATTTTATTAAGTATTACATGTAATTTGTTAAGTTATTTTGAGTTTACACATTGGTTGAGACACCTTTGGTACATTCTGCTTTTAATAATGTTTAACCACTAAAAATCACTTGTTCAGAATTTAGAAGTCTAGGACAAGGCTGGGCACAGCAGCTTACAGTTGTAATTTTAGCAGTCTAGGAGGCCAAGACGGGAGGATTGCTTGAGGCCAGGCGTTCGAGACCAGTCTGAGCAAGAGTGAAACTCTGTCTCTACAAAAAATAGAAAAATCAGCCAAGCGTGGTGGTGCACACCTGTCTTTAGTACCAGCTACTTGGGGAGCTTAGACGGGGGATCGCTTGAGCCCCAAAGTTTGAGGTTGCAATGAGCTATGATGATGCCACTGCACTATAGCCCGGGAGACAGAGTGAGATTCTGTCTCCAAAAAATAAAAGAGAGCTCTTTACAAGCATAGGTACAATTTAAGTAGTATTAGTAGAAACAATAAGACTATTTGAAACAACTACAAATAATGAGACTGGTAATATAAAAATATAGAACTATTAGGAAATTTCACTGTATACACAAAATTACTACTTTCGCACTACAGCTAAACTCCTTGAGATTTTTTTTAATGACATGAAGACTTAAAAGTATACAAAGTTTAGCATAAAACTCTTCTGATGGTGTACTCTTTCCTAAAAAGGTGCCTACAGAACTAATTCTTAATCTACTTTTAAATGCAATAACTAATTTCTAAAAAATTAAGTTGAAAGTAATTCCATGGTAGCAGAGAGGCATATCAGGTTAACTACCCAAGTATACAATTTGCTACAACTGTTTAAACAGCTGCTTTACACAAGTTCAGACTGATCAATCTCCATAACCATTTTTAATCATGGGGTCTTAACAAAGGCAGGTAAGATCAAGCTAGAAACAGCAGAGAATACTGCCAAGTTATTAACCTAAGATCCCAGAGAAGATTAACCTGGCCAGAAAGACCAGAGTTGTCAAAAGATGGGACACTCAAGATAGAGAGAAAATATTCAAATTATTTCCACTAAAGGGACTCTTAAGATCTTCTCACTCTTATAAAAGTCATTATAAAAAGAACTATAATGGCAAAATGCTAATCATTTTGATATGGTCTTTCAAACTGTAACAGATACAATCCACTATCTCCGCTATCATAAAATATGGGTATTTTCTTTGGGCCTCTACATGAAATATTTCTAGGCGGGTAAGCACTGGTTGGTAACATTTTTCGTTCTTTTCCAAATGATCTGATTTTATTTTTTCTTTCCAAAACACAGATTTAGATTTTCTTGTCTAGCTTTCGATCAATTTAATGTTTTGGCGAAGAATTTAAAGTATGTTCACACAACTACTTATAAATCTAAAGTTTTCTCAAAGTGTGAATGAGGAGGTATTAACACTATTTTATTGATGAAAACACAGGCACAGGAATTTCCAAGGTTTGGCTGGTACAACATGATAGTCATACTATCCCCCAAATCACCAAATAACATGTATCTCATTATAAAACTATAGAAAAAGCAAAGAAATCTTTTCTTAAAGGATATCCGCAGTTATATCAAATGTAATGAATCCCAGATCACTTCTTTCTCTAGGTCCAGTGAAGTCTTCTACATTTTTTCTAGAAGTAAAGATAAAAGCTTTACCATCCTTCAAACATAACATACAATCTTACATAATTCCTTAAAGCGAAAAACAGAATCTTATGTGTACAGGTCAAACAGCAACCCCACAGCGAAAAACAGAATCTTATGTGTACAGGTCAAACAGCAACCCCACAAAGTAAGTGTGAAAACAGGATAAACATTCTACTTCAATATACAATAGGTATCCAGCTATTTTCATATACCTTAAGAGAATCTCTTAACAAAATCTAGGGGGAGATAAATACTGCTAAAAGGAATTGTAAATACTTTGTGTAAAGTAATCTTGTAGAGTGGGCAGAAGAAAGTTACATATAGGACTGCAAGGTGGTACGTAATAATAAGATATGGCAGTATTGTCATCTGAGGTTTCATTTGCTTTTCAGTTTCAGTTATCTGAGATCAACCTAGTGTAAAAATAGGTGAGGACAGTACAATAAGATACCTTGAGAGAGAGGGAGACCACACTCACTTAACTTTTATTATAATATATGGTTAAAATCGTTCTACTTTATTATGTTATTGCTGTTAATCTCTTACTGCGCTTAATTTACAAACTTTATCACAGGTACGTATGTACAGTATTGGAAAAAAACAGTATATATAGAATTCGGTGCAACCTGCGACTGCAGACATACACTGGGGGTCTTGGGATGTGTCTCCCCCATAAGGGGGATTACTGTAAACATTTATTTGCTTACAAAGTGTCAAATTCACTATGTATTTTTCACAGTGAATTCAAATAACTCTCACATCAAACCTACCAGTTTCCATCTTAAACAGAAGGAAATTAAGGCCCAGAATGGTAAGAAACTTGCTCCGTCAAGACAATAGCTAACATCTGTTCAGTGTCTGACACGTGCCTACCTCTTGCAACCCTCACGGAGCTGACTGAGAGTGGCAGTGCTGATTTCCACCCATGTCTACACGAACCCTGAACAGTTTCTAACAAACATCAATATAGGAAAAAGAACAAAAAAAAAAAAAAAAAGGAGGGGCTCGCCATCTGATGACTGGCTTGTTGGTGATTCTGACAAAGAAATAAACTGAGGTTGAAGAACTTGTTGGAAAATGGAATAGAGCAGAGGGTATGAGAACCAGAAAGAAGAAATGTGACGTATCAAAGGCAAAAGTGCTAGAAGATAAAATCAAGGGCAAACTAGGCAAAAGCGAAAATGGTACTGTCATTCCGAAATTCTATTTTTGGCGTTTTCACGCATTTATTCAAACGGTTGGCTCTTAAAGAAAAACAAAAGACCCAAACAACAGAAAAAAACCCCGCTGCGTCCTGTATCAGAAGGCAAAGATGCTCAATCCCTTCAGTGCATCCTAACGTCTCCTGCCAACTTCAAAGCAGCTGCAACTATTTACCGCCTTCTGAGGGCGGAAAGACAAAAACTGGAAAGGGAATGTCAAACAGGACAAACTCTGTGATAAATGGCACACAAGCGGGCGGCTCGTCCAGCCCCGGGCACAGCCGGCCCGCGGAGCAAGCCGGCCCGCGCCCGCCGGGCCAGAGGCGCGGACCCCGACGGGGACCCCCGCCCGCCCGGCCCGGGACTGGCGGCCGCGGGCGGCGGCGCGGCGGTGCTGTTGTGTTGCTCCCTCATTGGCCAGGCGGGGTGGAGGGAAGTGAGGAACAGGAAGGAAGCGGAGGCGCTGACCTGAGGAACGCTCGAAATTAAAATTTAAGAGCAAGCCCGGGAATCTGCGGCGGGGGGTGCGAGTCCGGAAAAGCCCGCGAGGTCCGCCCGACGGCCGGCCCCGGGGGGCGACCGGCCGCGCAGGTAGGGGTGGGACAAGCTGAATGCGGGACAGATGGCATTTAAGGAAAAAGTTCTAGAACTAGACAGCGGTGATGTTCGCACAACAATGTGAATGCCCTTCATGCCACCGAGTTGTACAGTCTCAATTAGTTAAAATTGTGAATTGTAAGTTGTGTGCATTTTACCATAATTTTTTTAATGTTCATCACACTAAAAAGAAAATCAAACTGGGCAATGGGATGGAGGGCGATCGGGTGTAGAGTGGAGGGTGGAGGGGGTCCAGGAAGGCTCTTCGGAGGAGGTAACTTGTGAACGGACACACGAACAACATGAAGTTCTGGAGACGGCG